CACAGTACCTATATATCATTGACTACTTCTTCACTCAACGGTATATACAGGGTGTTTCTTTTAACTTGAGACAGCTCAATATCTCGAGAAATACGCATTTCACGGAAAAATGTCTTAATTAAAAGGTTAATGTGACTAAAGGGGACATTATTTGGTGCTACCGCTAGCCACCCCCTACCCCTCCTTAAGGGTGAAACGGGGGGTAACTTTGGAAAGTCAAATGGAATGACCCGATTTTTTTCACAGAGTTTGGTAGTACATAAAAAAATAAATAACTTTTATTTAAAACTTTTTTCAATTTATCAACAGATGGCGCTGTAATTCAAAATTTAAGAAAAATGAGTTTCCTTGTAAAATGTATTATTTGAAACGTTTGAAAAACAAAAATTAACATTAACAACAATAGTCGGCTATGAAAACAATTTATAACAAATGTTCATTCCATTTCAACACATTTTTGAATGCGGGTAATGAATTCTGGCACACAACGCGCCAACATGTCGGGCGGTATCGCCGCACAGGCGTTCCTGATCCGCTCCACCATGTCCTCCCAAGTTGTAGGAATTGCAGCGTAAACTTTTTCTTTCAAGTAACCCCACTGGAAGAAGTCTGGTGGCGTAAGATCAGGTGATCGAGCAGGCCAAATTACTGGACCACGTCTACCGATCCACCGCGGTGCACCGGCCATTGAACTCCCGATACAACACCTCTTGAGCAATTGCCGAATAATGTGCAGGGCAACCATCTTGCTGGTACCACATGTTTTGGAGCCGTGCTAGTGGTACATCCTCCAAAAGGTCCGTCAGATCGTTTTCTAGAAAATTCCGGTACTTTTCGCCATTTAATGCACCGTCAATAAAGAAGGGTCCGATTAATTGTTCGCTTAAGGTACCGGTGTCGAAATGGAAGGACGACATTTCGAACATTTGTTATAAATTGTTTTCAGAGCCGACTATTGTTGATTTAATGTTAATTTTTGTTTTTCAAACGTTTCAAATAATACATTTTACAAGGAAACCCCTTTTCTTAAATTTTGAATTACAGCGCCATCTTTTGATAAATTGAAAAAAACTTTCAAATAATAGTTATTCATTTTTTTATGTACTACCAAAATCTGTGAAAAAAATCGGGTCATCCCTTTTAACTTTCCAAAGTTACCCCCCGTTTCACACTTAAGGAGGGGTAGGGGGTGGCTAGCGGTAGCACCAAATAATGTCCCCTTTGGTCACATTAACCTTTTATTTAAGACATTTTTTCGTGAAATGCATATTTCTCGAGATATTGAGCTGTCTCAAGTTAAAAGAAACACCCTGTATATATTATTTATCTGTAGTGGCCCACTAGGGCAAATTAAGATGTATTTTTCTAAAAAAAATGACCTGTCAAAAATTGACAAATGACAAATGTATGTATTCAGAATTTTATTTTGAATCGAAATATGTAAAAAATGCATGCGGTGTTTCATTATAAAATAAAAAGTTAAGACCATTTTCGGAAGACTTAGTGACAAAAATATGTTAAATATGTCAAAAAGTTCTAAATTACATTTTATAAAGGTCTTCCCAGTTTCATGACCCTAGATAAAATACCAAATCTTTGCGATGAACCACGAATTTACTGGAATATGGCATTTTCATTAAAAAAATAATAATTCCGAAACGACGAATTTAGCCAACTCGAGACTATTGGTAAAAAGTTGTTCCTATTATTAACTACAAACGAAAAAAATACGAGGTAAAAAAAATGTAGCAACGTCAAAATTTTAGAAAAAACAATTAAAAAAATTGAATTTTTTTTGGAATGTAGTCAACATTGACCTATAATTTAAAAAAAATTGTAACGATCTAAATATTTTTGGCCAAGTTATCGCATTTTCAATAAAAAATGTCACTCGTAAAAAGAGAAAAATCAAAAAACAAATTTAAGCAAAAAGAAAAAAGACGAGTCTCATCGATTTCGGTAGAGAAACTGTAAAAAAAATTCGTTAAAAAATAATTTTTTATCAAATTTTGCACACACTGTAATGTACTTAATGTCTTAGTTATGATGTGAATAGTTATTTAAAAATAACATTGGTGGCGCAGTTACTAGGGAGGGCCTGCTGGTTTTTTAGGTCTGTTTAATTTAAAAACTACTCTTGTAAAATTTTTATTTGGGACTTTAAAATATTAAAATTTAAAGATTTGGGAATACAATTCAAAATACTGCAGCAAATTTTAAATTCTAAGTAGTCCTAGACTTGTGCCACAAACTGACAAAAAATACATCTGTTACCCATTTAAACTTCAAATAGCTGCTAGATGCCTTGTTTATTTTGTTTCCATAACAAGTTATTCTAGGATTTTTTGACAGACCATAAACATTTATGAGCAATGTTTTTTTAAATAGGGTCCACCTAACTTTAGATGCTCACGAGTATTTTTACGAGTACATTGAATTTGGTTTGTAAGTACGAGTAAAAAGTATTTAAAATGAAAAATACTTATGAGTAAAAAAACACTCATACTTTTTTACTCGTAATTGAAATACGAGTAAAAGTACTCAGTACTTGGCCGGCTCTGAGAACAGCCTAGCATTTACACATACACATCAAGAGCGGGCGCTAAAAGGCTCCCATTACAGTAGAAAATATATCTTATAAGTCAATTCTGGATTCTCACGTAAAATTTCTGTAAATTCGTAAATCTATAGCTTACAATGATCTGTAAGCATAATGCTTATAGAATCGTAAAAGTGGCAAATCTGGGATTTTATCTGTAAATATCTAATTTAAAGTGTTATAAACGCACCACTGCAACTTCAAGACTATTTACTTACGATCAAACATAACCTAGATTTTTATATGTATTCTTTTGTTTATTGGTTTATCATTTGTGTAACAGCATATAATATACCTAATATAAAAAGTAAGAAATTTAAACTAGTTTTTTAGTATTAGTGGTAACGCAAAAGCAACAAAGAGAAAGAAAACAAAAAAACAACACTCCTCAATAGTTGAAACTATATTTTGAGGCAATTGAAGGGGATTATGCATTGGGCCAAACCTTTATCAGGTTTGGCAGAAAACTTAATAAATTTGAACAAGATTAAAAAAAAACAGAAAAAAATTGTTGAGCTTTTTGAAAACTATTCAGAGAATTATATTAAGCTAAAAGAACAATTAAGATTTGAAATTAAACAATTCAAATTTTTAAATCCAAATTTTGATATTTGACCTATTAATTTTTGACTGATTAGAATATTTATTTATTTTGTTGTTTATTTCTTTTATGAGTGCAGTTTATTTTTTTTTAAATGTTTTATTTTATTTTCATATGTAAAATAAAAAATTAAATGTTTTTGTATTGTTTTATTTAGTAAAAATTAAAATTATTTCTAATGTAGTTGTAGTTGTCCGAATTGATAAATATTAACATAATTCCACATTAACATTAAAAATATTCATTAGGGTGTCCCTTATTTTTGTTTTTTTTTTACGCATACCCTCTAATTATATTTATTACGTGTTTATATACTCCCAGTAAAAATTTTAGCTCATTCTATAAACGGGAACCCGTGCCGACTTGCATCTGAACCCTCCGTTAGCCAACGTTAGGTCTTCGATCGTAAGTCATTTTGTGTTTGTTATTATGTGACCCTTATACGAGCCCTAACCACATAATGTTCGGACACTTCATAATTTATACAGAAATTTTTTTCGTGAATACTATCTCAAAATTATTAGAAGTTATGAAAAATTCAGCTTATTTTGGCATATACCCCTCGAAGCGATTTTTATTTTTAAAAAGTTTACCTTTTATTTTTAGCTTTTAAAAAAAGGCTAACTTTTTAACTTTTTTTTGTATGAGTAAAAAAAGTTATAAATGGACCCATTAAAAAGAGCATAAAATATTATACAAACCCTGAAAATTTGGTAAAAAATAAATAAGTTATAAAAAAGTATAAGTAATTTAAAAATGCTATTTTTAAAGAGTTTTTGCAATTTTCTTAGGAAACGGGAGATTTTGCAGATATATATATCGCTATAACTTTCTTATTATTTAAACAATTTTTACCAAATTTTCAGGGTTTGTATAATATTTTATGTTCTTTTTAATGGGCCCATTTATAACTTTTTTTACTCATGCAAAAAAAAGTTAAAAAGTTAGCCTTTTTTTAAAAGCTAAAAATAAAAGGTAAACTTTTTAAAAATAAAAATCGCTTCGAGGGGTATATGCCAAAATAAGCTGAATTTTTCATAACTTCTAATAATTTTGAGATAGTATTCACGAAAAAAATTTCTGTATAAATTATGAAGTGTCCGAACATTATGTGGTTAGGGCTCGTATTATAAATTATTGACAAATGTAAAAATATATATGTATATTTTCACAGGGAGTGGCTAGTTACCCGGAAGGGTCTGGTGAATAGGCCGTAAACTCTGAAATTGATAAACTTAATGGGTTTTACTCTAAATAACTAAAAGAGTCTATTGTGAGAGATGACTACCGAAACTTATTGAACTGTCTGAAATATTTTTGGGAGGACATCAAGAAAAGAAATGCTTATAAAAAGCTGAAATTTCATATAACAGTATATTTTAGCAATACTAATTAGTATATTAATATATTTAAGGGATAAAATCAACTAAACAACCTAACAAAAACAAACTGTAACTAGCATTGATTGGCAAACACCTGATCGTAAATATTTATGATTCTATTAGATTTTCTGTAAGCTACAGGAAGTGCAGAATTGCAAATTGTCTATAAGCTAAAAAGTTATAGATTTGCTTACAGATGTGCGCAGAATTGACCTATTAGTTACCTACTTAATTGAGAAATAACAATTTTCTTAAAATACAATAAAAAAATATTATGTAGGTAAATAGAAACTTTTTTATTGTTAAAATATTTTTACCAAAACCAAGTTAAATAAATAAAAATAATAACACAATCAATACCTACATTTACAATATCCCAAGTTTAAACCAAATAATAGAAAGCCCAAAATATACAAACCTTAATAAACAGCTTCTCCTGCTGAGAAATTTGAGTCCATCTATACTTGACAGTGTACTCCATAAGCTGCAGCCCAAAATGCCTGCTGATTAGAGAATTCTGAGTGCCAGCTGCCAGAAACAGCCCTGCTTCAGCACACAGTGGTGATGTCTCCTTAAAACTCTCACAGGCATTGTATGCTTTTAATCTATCTGACTGAGAGGCCTCAGGACTGAGGGTCAGTTCAACGGCTCTGGCCAGATCTGCAGCCAAAGCAGCCACATTGTGCCCTGACATGTTAATTTGGCTAAAATATTAGTTTGTTTTATATTTATTTGAATTTTGATACAATTCTTTAGTAGGTAATATTAATTGGTATCCCTGTTTAAAATATTTGACAGTTCATTGACAAATATTTTAAGAATTTGTACATAATATTTACAATAATGTAATAAAATATAAAAGCATATTTTATATACTTTTACATGTTAAATTATGTATAATAATTAAAACATAACCACATTTTGTTACTTTTTTGGTTTGTTTTAATCAATGCAGCAAATTATTGGTTCAGTTCCTAGGGTTAACTGAATTCAGTTACATTTTTATAACCCAACTGAACCGACTGAACCCCCAAATTTTTGACGTTGTCAAAGTGCAAATAAGAAAAACGAACCAAACGAGCTAAAATCATAGACATTGTCACATGTTACCAAAGCATGGTAATGCACGTTTTCTTGAATATTTCCATACAACAAATATCTAAAATTATAAAGATGTTTTAACGGTGTTTACTTACGTTTAAAATTCTACGCTTTTATTTACAACATATGATTCAATATTTACGATAAATATGCAACAAATTACAACTGTCGTTTGCCGGCGCTACTGCTACGCGCGGCGCGGAACGAAACGCGCCCTGTAGTCACGGCGGGAATTCGAACTATCGCAAAAACTGCTAGTTACATCATAAAAAATAGCAAATAAACAAAGTCAATTCATTAAATTTATATAAAAACGACAACATAATGACTTTATTTGTGTAAAAAAGGTTATAACGTTATTAAATGTAGAGTTCTTTAATAATGACATTTTAACATAAAAATACAAAAGATAGGTGTCGCTAAATAATAATTTTTACACATACTTCCACACAGTGTGCTAGGTTCCTGTGAATGTGAATTTCGTGATACGATTATTGAATTTTCATATTCACACTAAACTTTTTAAAGTGATTTATCATTTTTAACACAGATTCCCCTATTGTTAGATGCAACTCGTTTATAAACTTTTCTGGACACTCATTAATTTAAGCATTGTTTATCTTTTACGGGCGGGAGGGAGATTTTTTGTTACCTGTTTTTTATATTTATTACTTGAAATACTTTATTTTGCTAACATTTCTTAACATTTGCATTAAAAAGAATTGTATCCAAAGTTTGTATTCCAAACTTTAAGCCAAAATAGAGCGAGTGTGGAACGGAATTAAACTAGATTCGGCTGTAGCGGAATTATGATGTTATTTGTTATTTTCGAGTTGGCAACACTGGGTTGAGACTTTTCACAATAGACTGTGGCAACACTGTTTGGCACTGCCAAGTTTATGTTCTGTGGTTTAGAGCACAATCCACATTGTGGTTTAGAGCATATTTTATCTAATCTATGGTTTAGAGCTGGTTTAAAAACCCCATCACAGAACATAAGGTCTCAATATTCTCTATCTTATGTGGTCTCTATATTATATAGAGCTACAATAGCTCTATATAAACATGGATGTCACTGTTATCCATAGATCATATTATATTTGTTATATTCCATAGATGTTAACTTAACTTTCGGTTTATGAATCGCGATCTATATATAGAGTTATTATAAAGCTTTTTGGTATATAAATAACAATATCAAATTGATATTATCAATGTACCTTTATGATGGCACCAATAACTTTGTAAATTTTGTTGGTTATGGGCCTAAGTTTGGTCTAGGGTTATGGGTATATCAGAGGGGAGCAACTCGTGAGGTCTAAACCGACCGAAAATTTACATTTCATTTAAGAAAAATGTGAACCAAACCTTATTTGAAGTGCGACGTTGCCACACATTTTAGACCCACCGTGCTTTTAAATTTTAGACCCAACGAGTTTAGATCCATAGAGTTTAGATCTCTCGTGTTTAGACCTCACGAGCTGCTCCCTATAATATATATTAATAATATGATCCAAAGATCTTTGATATGATCTATCACATACTTCCAAGTATGTGTGATCTATCCATATAACACATATACCATATATATATATATATACCATATGGAAGTATGTGTGATCTATGGTTAACAGTGACATCTATGGTTAAAATAGCGAACAGATTTTGTCAGTGACAATTTCTTTTTCTACGCTTTCCCCTGTTTACAGTGAATTGTTGACAAACAAAGAACAGCTGAGTTCAATTGACATTTCATCATTTTACAACACTTTTTACAAAATTTCTTGTGTATATTAACTTCATTTCAGGTAAATATGTTAGGAATTAAGAGTGTTAACCTCGAACGGTCCTAAAAAGGGAAAACGGGAAAATGTGAAGATCGTAAAGTGTAACCTTCGCGAAAAACTCATTTCCTGGTTGCTTACGGTTGCGATCTTTTTATAGTTGCGTGACCTGTTTCTGTATTTTAGGTCGATTGCAATCATCCTAGTGAGCCCAATAATTAAAAAAAAATGAGCGGTAGTGACAAAAATAAAGCCACAGAACCCAAGGACACTGGATCCTTGCCAAGGATCAGGACTCAAAGTGAAAGTTCTTTTACCAGTGATGATGGGGCCAATGGATTTGCGGGAAAAATGTAAGGAATTCCTGTTTATTTATATTATAAATTAATTGCTTGGGGAAAGTTAAATTTAACCATTACTTGCATAACACTTTCTATTGTATGCAACAATTAAACTGATTTAGTTTCTGTTAACAATGCATCCAAGGTACTTAATAATTTGTTTACTTAAATTTGACACAATTAATTGATTTCAATATTTTTTAGATTCATGCACATAAATTCAATGTAATCATAAAAAATACAAAAAAAGTTTAATTAACATTATTTTTGTAGTCAAAGAACAAACTCTGCACAGTTTGTGGTTGCAAGCGGTTTTCCATCAGCTTCGCCACCAAAATTTGTCTCATTGGAAGAGATAATGCAAGCGGCAAACAGTATGAGAGATATGGCATTAGTCCACCAAATTGTGGTTGATGATGACTTTAGATTGCAAAAACCTGACCCTGCACCTAACACTGTTCAAAAGGTTATTAAGGACACTATGCAAAAAGCTTTTTGGGATGTTTTAAGAGAGGAATTGGCTGAAGATCCCCCAAACTATATGCAGGTAAATAAATTTTTTAATTAGATTAATTAATTTAAAGTAGAATGTAATGTGTAAAAAAAGTGTAATTTGTTTTCAATTTTTTGCGACGCTTTTGTTTAGCTTTTCTTTTGTTTTTGTATGTATGAACAATTTGTTACTCATGGGACTGCCCACAATGGACCTTGTATAACACACAAGGTTAGAGGCATTAAAACCAGTTCTAATTTTTTAAATTGTTTGTAAGTTTAATTTAATCTGTTTGTATGTTATCATCCTATAGGATATTATAATTACACAATCAATGCAAATTATAATTAAGAAATAAAAATATCCTTAGCTGGGTTGTTAATTTAATTTAAAATATTTCTTAAAAATAATTAAATTAGACAACTTGGTGCGGACGTGTACGCATCTGTTTTGCCGATAAATAATTTAAACTGAATTAAGTTGTATATCCCAGATAGCAAAATGAATTCACTATGAATTCACTACGAATTCACGCGTGAAAATTAAATTCACGCGTGAATTCATATAACGCGACAGATGAGTCCTCAATTGATGCTCAATTTGCCATCACGCGTGAACTTTTTATTTTTTGCGCATGCGCTTTTAGAATATGGATTTCATTTTTCAAAATAATTTAATCTGTCGAAATATTTATTTTAACACCTTAAAAAAATACACAAAAACTTGGTTTAAAAGGCCATAATTGAGAAGCAATCGGACTAAACCAGATAAATCCATTTCGACTTTTTGAATGGTTCCTATTTCTTTTGTTCAGATAAATCCATTGGAAATATCTATTTCATGCTAAACTTGTTATCATAATATGATATGATCATAATATTAATATTAATATTATATAATAATTATTATATTATATACTAAAATTAATATTAGTTTATAATATATATATTATTATAATAAGTTTATCTTGAAATTCACTTTTCCAATTGATTTATCCGACTAAAAGAAATATGAATCATTCAAGAAGTCAAAATAGATTTATCTGGTTTTGGTTGATTGCTCCTCATTTATAGGTTATACATTACAATTATAACCTTAAGGTTAACTAATTAATTAATTAATATATAATATACATATATTAATTATTAATGTACCTATAACATATAATTATGACCTTTTAAACCAATATATATTATGTAATTATATATATTACTATAATATATATAATTATAATAATATATATCAGTGGCGGATTGGGGATTTTGGGTATACCAATATCTCACTTATTAGACGTGGGACCCACTCCAAATTTATAATAGTTTATAATGACATTAAATAGACAAGTTCTGCGCAAACAGAATTTAAATTAAAGTTTGCGAAAAAAAGTTAGTTTTTTGTGTCGCCTTACCTGGCTTCTGGCCCCCCCATTTGGGATAATTCAAATTAAAGTGGTGCAATTTATACTCCACTATAATTTATCGACAAATTTAAAATTTTATTTAAAAAATATAAATATTACAGATTTTATACGATTTTAAATTTTTATTATTTATTTTATTATAATAAAAAAATATTTAATATGGTATAAAATCTGTAATATTTGGATTTTTCAAATAAAATTTTAAATTTACCGATAAATTATAGTGAAGTATAAATTGCACAACTTTAATTTGAATTATCTCAAATGGGGGGGGCCAGAAGCCAGGTGAGGCGACACAAAAAACTAACTTTTTTTCGCAAACTTCAATTTAAATTCTGTTTGCGCCGAACTTGTCTATTTAATGTCATAATAAACTATTATAAATTTGGTGTGGGTCCCATGTCTAATAACTGAGATATTGGTATACCCAAAATCCCCAATCCGCCACTGATATATATTATAATATATAATTATATAATATAACTACTTATAACTTAATATATTATATAATTAATACATATAATAATTAATTTGTGTATTTTAAAACATTTAAACTAAAGATTGTGACTGAAAATGTCTTATGACATGGGGAAAGGGAGGGTGTTACCAGAGATAATTATAATTTATTATAATGACATACAATATTAAATGAAAATATATTAATATAATATTTTTGATATTAGAATATTAATTAATATTTTATTTATATTTAAACGTGCAGTTTTAAATCATGCAATCCATGTATTTTAAAATAAAATCGATTAAATCACACGAGACTATAATATGAATTCATAATCTACTCACGTGTGAATTACGAGTTCAAGACTTCACGTGTGAAATCATATAGCACACATTATTCACTCACGCGTGATTTCGTATTCACGTTTGCTATCTGGGATATTAAAACTAACAATTATTGGTGTAAAGTTTCACAAAAAATGAATGAGGATAAAGAAGAGGGAAGTAAGGAAGAAGGATTTGTCCTTCCGGCCTACAATAAGAAAAAACGCCAAAAATATGATGATGCAGATACAACCGAATACACAGAAAGCGAAATTTTAGAAATTATAGGAGTAAAGAATTACAAAAAGTACACAAAACTAGGGAGTGTTAAAAACGCTTAAAAAACAAAACACACAATCAGATACAAATACAAGTGTGAAAGGTACCCATACACCCGAGCATACACCTCAAACATCAAAAACAAACAATAATTATAACATAACTAATAACAAATCTGTCGCCAAAAATTCAGAGTTTAATTAAAAAACTGGTTTTATTAACACTTGAAATATCAAGTAATAACCTACAGCAACCAACTATTGCAAAAAAACAAAACCATTCTTTCTCGGCAGTAATATCGGACGTTGACATTGATTGAGGAAAAATAAATAAGTGAAGCGTTAAAAGAAAACGGAATCAAACATAGATATTGCAAAAGAATAATTAAAAAAAAACAATTAACCCTTCTTATACATAAAAATAATAACTGGCGAGATTAAAGCATATGAGAAATTAATAAATGATGGGGTTTTCTACAAATTTCGTTACTACCCTGCATATCCAAGTCATCCTCCACAACCTCTATCAGTACCATGAGGAATTGTTCCCAGTTTTCGCATACAACTGAAAACACAGAAGTAAAATGCTCAAAATGCACTGGAAACACAAAGATAATGAATGCAAATTAAATTTACCACCAACATGTTTGGCTTGCGGATCAGTAGAGCACATTGCGTGGTCAATTAAATGCCCAAAACGACCCAAGAAACCTATAAAAGTTATTCCAAACATTACAATTCGTTATTTAAACAAAAGCACTTGTGAAATAGATAAAAAACAACAAAAGACAATATAATACATTCGGCAGTAACAATTTATGACTATTTTATCAATACTTATATATATATTAATATATATAATTATAATTATATATTAATATATAACTGGATAAAAAACAAACACTGTTTTTGAGTTTCACGAATTTATTTAAATTTTATTTGACAATTGTTTCGCTAACACTGTAGCATCTTCAGAAAATGAAGAATTTTTTCTGGGCATGATTAACGGGAATTTTGGACTTGCATTGCCTTAATTTAGTTATTACCTGAAGACCATTAGAAATAATTACTAATCGAAACGTTGTAAGAAAAACAATTAAATTAAGACAAGGCAAGTCCAAAACTCAGCTGTTAATCATTCATAAAATTAATTTATTGCGAAATTTTGGTCAATAAGTAATAATCCAAAAGATCTTATTCTTTATTTTAGTGTTTGTGACAATTGTCTACATTTATAGAAAGCATGGTCTTATATAAGACCGTGATAGAAAGATATCTTATTTTAATTAAAATTAGGTATCTTTTTACAAATTCATAAATAAATTAATAATAAATTAATTTATAAACGTGATCTTAAGATCAACGTTGATCTTAAGATCGTTTCCAACTTGGAAATCCAAATAAAATTATGTATATTTTTTATACAAATGTAGTCTACAAATCCAGTCTTTTCACAAATTAACCATATGGTGTAAATCAATTTTTTGATAATTTTAGTTAACTATTAAGCAAAAGTAAAAAGTTTGCAATCATTTCGTGTCGTTATATACCAATCACGTGCGTGTATTCCCATTAATCATAAAATGAATATCATATCGCAGCGTTTTTACCATAAATCAATATAAATATATATCAATATTTATATCATCTTCACTCAACGCTTATACAGGGTGTCCCATAATTAGCGTGCAATACTTTAACAGCAGATTCTACGTACAAAAATAAGAAAAAAAACTTCCTAAAAAAATAGGTCCAGAAATGCTTTCCAAGGAAGCTACAGCCCCCCAACGAGGAGTCCCTGAAGATGGTTTTTATTTGATATCTCCAAAACCGTTTAAGATATAAAAGTAAATTTTTTTTTATATAATCAAACTTTTTATAGCCAATAAGTTGGAATAATATCAAATTCAAAATTTTTATAAGGGGTGGGTCAGATAGAAAGGGAAAATCGATTTAAAAATTACCTTACATAGCATAAAAATTCATAATGAAATCACAACTAGAGAAAAACACCCTGTCACATATTACATGAAACTGTCACCTGCCTTAAATAATTTTTCCTAAAGATGGCAGCTGTGTTCCATGGCCTACTCTGAATTTTTCTCTCTTTTGAATTCATTATGATCTTTTATGCTATGTAAGGTAATTTTTAAATGGATTTTAAGCGAAAACAGTGGACAATATCAAAGTTTAACAAGAGGACCTTTTTTGTGTGTAAAATTCCGAAATTTTATAATCTGAATTCAAATCCTAGAAAAATTGTCCATGGCCTACGCTGAATCTTTTTCTCTAGTTGTGATTTCATTATGAATTTTTATGCCATGTAAGGTAATTTTTAAATCGATTTTAAGAGAAACGGTGCATGCTATCGAAGTTCATCAAGAGGAACTTTTTTGTGTGTAAAACTAAAATTTTATGATATGATATCAAATCATAGCACAAGATACTTACAAAAAGTTAGGGTGGTTTTAAACCCTATTCCTTATCTATCTGACCCTGATGTTGAATTGTTATTATTACATCTTATTGGCCATAAAAAGTTTGATTAATTCCCAAAATTTTACTTTTCTACC